CCTGGCCTCGCGGTGGCGCCGCGCTGAGCCGCCCGTCTCGTCCTCAGGACTGTGATTGTTTTCTAAAACCCCGAGTCGAGGCCGCGCGGCCGCTCTCGGGGCCCCGCCCCGCGCCCCTTCCTGAGGCGGGGGGAGGCCGCGGCGCGCCGGGGAGCGGGCAAGGGAATCCCTCTCCCTCCACGTCACCCGAAAGCGAGGAACCCCGCACTCGCGTCCTCTAACGCAAATGACCATCTTTGGCAACGTGAGCCAGTGGAACAGACCAAGGGCGCTGGGCCCGGAGGGGTGGGAAGGGCCAGGGCTACCTCGGCTCCCTCAAACCGCGCGAGCCACCCGCTTCCACCCTCGCCACCGCCTTCCTTCCTCGCGCGGGGTGTGTGGCTGGCGTCAGCGCGGCCGCGAGCCGGGGCCTGGAGGGAGCGTTGCGCCCGCCTCCTCCCCTCCCGCGCTCTTCCTCCTCCTCCTCCTCCTCGGCCCCCACCCCCCGCCTCCTCGCGCGCTCCTCCCTACGAGGTGGAGTCTCGGGTTGACGTGAGTGAATCCATGTGGTAGGGGCTGGAGAATAAAGAGTGTGGAGTTGAACTCGTGCCATTGTAGTGACTCATCTCGGGCAGAGCGCAGGGGCTCCGAGCGAACCAGAGAGCGAGCGGTGCTCGGCAGGGACAGAGAGAGAGAGAGGGCGAGGCGCGGACGCGCGAGGCGGGCGCGTCCGGGAGCGGACGCCGGCGAGGGGTGCAGTCGGGGCGCGGGGCGCAGGGCCGCGTCCCTCTCACCGGCGCAGCTCGAAGCCCACCGGCCGCTGTCCCTCGGGCGCGCTCGTCTGCGCGGCACCGGCGCACGCCGCCTTCAAATCAAGTGTCCGAGCGCTCCGAAACTCAGGCGGAGAGCCGGCCACAGGAAGTTTATTCTCGGGCTCCTTTTCTAAAAGGAGGAAACAGAAGTTTCTCCAAGCCGCCAGCCTTTCTTTTCGCCTTTTTCTGGCCCTCTCTACAATCCGGGGACCCCAGATCTGACAGGCGAGGCTCGCCGGGCTCCTATTCAGTTTTCATTTCCAATTTTTCTTTGGGTCGTCGGTCGCGGCTCAGCTCCGGCTGCGCGCGGGGGCGGGAGGGTGCGCGCAAGGGAGGGACCGAGGGACCGGCGACCTTTTAGAGGGAGGGACCGGGTGGACAACTGGTCCCGCGGCGCTCGCAGAGCAGGAAAGAAGTGCGGTGCAAGGCGCTGGGAGACACTTCCCGGGTGTCGCCACTTCGCGGCCCGCTCCCGCCGGCGTTGGGGAAAGTCCGGGAGCGAAGACCGCGGCCGGCGGACCAGCGAGCGCGCAGCAGCCTGAGCGCGGCCGCGGCGAGGGCGGGGAAAGAAAAACACCCTGTTTCCTCTCCGGCCCCCACCGCGGATCATGTACCAGGATTATCCCGGGAACTTTGACACCTCGTCCCGGGGCAGCAGCGGCTCTCCTGCGCACGCCGAGTCCTACTCCAGCGGCGGCGGCCAGCAGGTAGGTGCGGGCCGTGGGTGCACCTGGCGGCGCGAGTGGACTCCTCCGCCTTCCTCTCACCGCCACTGCCTCTGGCTTGCTTGCTTTTCCTCTTCTTGGCTTGGCAAGAACATACCTAGGGGCCACTGTTGTAAGTTGTGGATTTTCGCCCTGCTCTGCCCCACCCACCCTAGCACTTTTTTTTTTTTTTAACCGTATTGGGCAGTGTGGGCTTGAAGGACCAACAAACCCTTTGCTACTCAGAAAAGCTCCTGGAATTGCAGATTCTCCGTCCAGGAGCCTGTTCCCTTCTTCCAGGACCCCACCTTCCGCCTTCCCTCATCTCCACGATGGAGAGAGAAGGCAATCTTTGCACCCACTAATCCCTCCCAACAGCCCTGTTCCTGGGGAAAGCCCTCTCCCTCTCTTTTGGCCTCCATCAGTCGTAGCTCATTTCTGAAAAAGACTGGGGACTCAGAAACATGGTTGGGCTGCTTCAAGTAATGGGGAGTGATGGGGAGGGTTGCCTCTGGGAATCAGGTGCGAAGGTCAGGAAAGAGGCCGGCCTTGATTGGCCCCGGCTGCCTGCGCGCCTGCGTCAGTTTCCTGTAAGGGTTGAGGCAGGAGCCTGCGCTGCTTTGGGAGCAGTGCCTTGAGGGTCTGGGGGTAGCCGGGGCAAGGAGGCTGTCAGAGAGAAGTAAGGAAAAGAGACATCACTTGGTCTCCTGGGTGGTTCTGGAAGCAGAAAAACAACTGCCTTCTAAAGCAGCCGGACTGGTTTACACTGGAGGGATTGAGCCTGTGATCAGTGTGTCTGTAAGTACCAGAAAGGTGCTGGTGGCGTGGGTTCCCTCAGCTGCGGCTCCCCCAGCTCCTTGTGTTTTGTGAAGGAGCTGGGTTAACACTCAGGGTCCTCTGCAAACCAAAGCCCACAGATGTGGTCAGCATCTGTGGGGTCTCTAGCCAAGACTTCTACAGCATGAATTGCTCCATTAAGCAGTGGCCTTTGCCTGTAGAAGCCAGACAGACGAGAGGGTTGGGGGGTCTTCCAGGAAGGGGTGGGCCCAGCTGGAGAGTATAATGTGAACATGGCTTTTTATTGAATCTGAAGAGAAATACCTGTTTCAAAGTGATTCCCGGTACCGGCTGAGTCCCCTAAATGGTTTTCGGTGTCTTTCTTCTATAGCTCCCACCCCTACCCCTACCCCTGTACTGCCCAAGTACCCATTGTAGAAGGCCTAGTCTGGGCATTGAGTATGCGCCCTTAAAATGAGTGCCCAGGTGATGAGTTTAAAATCTTACCTGAAGGGGCTGGGGATTTAGCTCAGTGGCAAAGTGCCTGCCTGGCAAGCACAAGGTCGTGAGTTCGGTTCCCGGTACCAGAGAAAAACCAAAAAAAGAAAAAAATCTTACCTGAAAAGTTCATTATGTTTGCTTCCCGGTCCAGTTGGTGGTTTGTGTTGGCCTCAAACATCATTAATTAATGGGTTAGGATAGTTTATATCCATTCCCTCACTTTCCAGTTCAACAAAACCCAAAACGCCTCTGTCCTCCTCCTGGAATCAAAAAGGGCTCTTTGGACTTCTCTATTCTTTTCATTAACTCATCTGAGACAGTGATCCTTGACAGTACAGTCTCACTGCCTAGCTTTGCTCAGACCCTAGGGCCTGGATGGGAAGTCAGACCGGACATCAGTGCCCCAGCTGAATAATCTGTGTCACTAGGGCTTTGAGCCCAGGATGTGAGTGGAGGCAATTCCGTTTTGGAAGCAAATCAGACAGGAAACCAGTGGTAGGAAGAAGGAAGAGAACTCAGTCCAGTAGAGTGTAATGGGGCCTCATTACCGAAGCAAAAAGCAGCTGTTGGCTAATTTCTAGCATGCTGTAACACATGAAGATTTTGCAATTAGCAACAATCAGCACACACGTTCTTATGTACGCCTGCCTGTTCGGTCCAGCAGTGTGAGCAGTGTGCCTTTCAGACCAGAGGGATTGGCAAGGTACTTCGCTTAGACGAGTTTTTGTTTCTGCTTGAACTGGGATGGTGTTTAGGGGAGGGACGAGGGAGAGCAGCGAGGAGAGCTTTTCCACCATCGCTCTGACTTTTCACAGAATTATTCTGTGGTCCTAAAGACTGACCTCAGAGCTGTTGTTCCTCTGAAAGTTTGCGCTCTGACCTCGCCTGAGCTTGGGCTCAAGGTAACTTTATTACATACCCGATAAATCCTGTAATCACTTTACTTCTCTGAGCTGCCTTTATGGGCAGACTTTTCTGGTGGTTAGTTGCTGGGCTTCCTCCTTTATGGCACAGCAGTGGACCAATCAGTGTGAGACAGTTCTTGATTCCTATTTGTAGGGTCCAGCTCTTCAGATAAGTTTGTTGCTTGTACTCAGTCCAGAGCTTTCTTCTCCTCTCTAGCTGCAGAAGGCAAACTGAACTCAGGGCCACAGATTCCAGGGACTTGGCGAGCAGGGGGCAGACAGCTATTTGTTAAAGCCTCAGTTCGGGTATAAGGCAGGAACTTGAATCACGAAAAATATTTCCTGTTGCAGTTAAAGCTTTAATCTGAAAGATTGGTGATTTAGATTGGTGATTTAGATTTGTTAGGAGCAGTTACACCTTCCCCTCCTGGAGTAAGTTTTGTTGTTGTTGTTATTTTCTTCCCTGTCTTTCCTAGGACAACACCTCCCAGATATATACTGTGCCTGGCTGCTTGACTGTTAGGTTTCTGGGCCCAGGCATTACGCAATCCAGCCAGTTACACAAACACAGGTCATTTCATAACTTGTTTTCATCAGCCAGGCCCCCTTTTAATGAACAAAACAAAAACAAGACCAAGAACTTTCCAAGGCTACTATTTGTCTGTTTCTCAGATAACTTGTGAAAATAAATTAAGCCGGCTATTTCCTTTTGGAATCAAGGAATATCAGACAAGCTGTCTTCTTTCTCAGCCACTCTTTCCCAAATACACACACACACACACACACACACACACGTACACATGCACGCACAAAATTCCCCGGAGTGAACTTTTGCCAACTGTACCAGGCTGGGACATTCCTCACATCAAAGAACTTTTACCAGAAATGACTGTGATTCCCAAGTCAGCCTCTATTGTACCTCTCTGGTGCCCCCTACGGGACATTTTTAGAAAAACTCTCTCGGGAATGTATTTTTCCAGCCCCAAAAGAGTGTCAACTTGGTTAGTTTTTGGAATTCTTAGGATTTTTCTTTTTATTTAAGGACAAATAAATGCCATATATTTAACAGTGGTTAACTAGGAATGACTTGACTTCAAAATGAGTTTCTTTTTTACTTATTTACTTTTCGTTCTAAATAAAACCTGATTGGAAAATGCTTTTTTCCTTTTCTCTGTTTTGATGTCTGTTCTTTAGGGGCCAGTACCAATATTATGGCCTCCTCAAGGCTTATTTTCTTTATGTATTCGTATATGTGTGTGGGTCATTCAGAATTGGTGGGAAGATGAGAATTGTATATTAATGATCTGGGTCCTTTTGAATTTAATTTTACTTTTTGCTTTGATCCTACAGATGTTGTAGATTAAGAACAAACAAAATGCTATCCCAGGAATTTGTCTGATCCACTGATTCTTGGTGGTAGAAGTCAGACTTACGTTTTTGTCAAAGTGAATGGGGTGAAATAGCAGTCGTGTATTGTCTGAGTGGCAGTTGAAATTTCGTATCTAAAACCCTGAGTGCATTTCCGTGACTGTATTTCTGCCTGTCTTATTGTTCAAGGTGAATGTAGAATTAGGAATCCTGATTTTTTTCCTTTCCTGTCTAACACAAACACACCAGAACTTACACATCTAAGTTACCGTTGGCCCATCATCCTTGATCTTTAGGAGACTAAATACTTCAACATTGTGGCTGTGGTCAGACTCAGAGACATTCTACAATGCCCTTTTCTTTTGGAAATCCTCCCTCCTAACAAACCTTTGGCCCCCTAAGGGTGAATTAGATGTTCAGAAATTACCAAATTAACTTTGGAAAACCAAGTCTGACCTATAAAGTTGGGGTGACCCCAAGTTCTGTGGCTCTCAATCTTGACGGTTTGCCTGGGAAACTGCCCCCTCCCCTTGACCAAGCACACCAAAGCCGGCATCTCTGATGCCAGCACCTTTGCCATCTATACCTGTTTTTTTGTTTTTGTTTTCCTCTGTTAAACAGGAATAGAGATATTTGTTTTCAGAATTAAGGAAACTCACTTTGAAAGAAAGAAAAATAGCGTCATTACTTTGTCTCATCTGGTAACTTTTGGCGGCCACAGTATTTCACAACTATGGCAGCTGCTCTGATTGAGGTAAATATATCTATTCCAAACCCTATTTGTAATTCTACTCCTTCTCAGCTTCCTGGCCTGGAGGGGGAAGATGGGAGATTTCTCAGCCCTGTCTCTCAGCCCTGTTATGTGACTGATGTTCTGTAGATCTAAAGCAAGATGAGATGTTAGCCTTCCTGTGGAGTGCAGAGCTCAGAGGATTGGTGGCAGTAGGATAAGGTCCCTAGGGCAGTGGAATAAATTCTCTAGTGCTTTGGAGTGGAGTTTCTGGCCAGCAGGACTCTGGGAACAAATAATCCAGGAAACCTGGGGATGGCTCCATATCTGTTATCTTTTTCTTTTTTTTTTCCTTCCTTTTTTTTCACCCAAGCAGTAAGGTAATAGAGAACTAAGGGGTTCTTTCCAGTGAAGCTGAGAAAGCAAAGGAGCTGGTGTGTTTGTATACAATAAGACTTTGGAAATCATGAGTTACTAGTGACAACTTCCATTGTGACCTAAGTGGTATTTCCTCAGAGGAGGAAAGGTTGGACGGTGTTGTCCAACGCGCACTCTGTGAAGACTGGTTAAATTCCACACTGGCGGCTTTGAAGGCTTTGGAGGACATCCTGGCTTCCGTAAGAATGCAGAGCATTTGCGTTGTATTGGTGTGGAACTCCGAGAAGGACAGCGTGGGAAGCACTCAGACAGCATTTGCTCTTACCCTTTCTCTTTCCTACAGCCAGTCTTCTGGGAGGTTGGAATTTTCCTTTCCCTATCTTGGAAATCTAAAAATAGAAAAAGAGCCTAGTCCTTTCCCAGACATCACACCTGCCTTCCCGATGCGCAAGTCGCAGAGCCCACAGGGCTTGTGGTGTGAATGACTGGGGACCCCTGGCAAGAATCAATCTGATGGAGAAGTGCCTGGCCAGTGGTTGAGCCAGGAATACCGACCATGACTTTGATGTCAAATACCATTTCTGCCTGGCTCAGGAGTCCCTGAGATAATTCCTCTGTGGGAAAGGAGGGCCTGTGAGAAGTTGGGGCCCAAACCCTCATTCTGAGACCATTCAGCAACAGGCCATGGCTGGGAGCTGTGTGTCTGAATTCAAAGTCCTCCCATAGAGTCCCCAAAGGTTATTTTCCCAGGTTAGCAATGGATGACTATAGGACTTCTCTAGCCTGCTGGAGTTGCCCTGTGTTCTCTGGCACACACTACCCATGGAGCAGCCCATGGCACTCCAGGAACAGGGTGCTCTAGGGTGACACTGAGATTCCCGTGCTCAAAGACCCACAACACAGCTTGTAAGGGCTTGAACTTGAGCTCAGGGTTTGGAGGTCCAAGCTGATGAAGAAGGCCCATCTCCTTGGCTCCCTGGGTCAGAGGACCTGACCCTAAGAGGTGAGAAGGATCTTCCAGGATGGGGGTTGGCAAAGTATCTTTATAAATGAAGTCTAATGAAGTCCAGGCATGCCTGTTTGCTTGCATATTATCTACGGTGCCCCACATGATATGGTGGCAGAGTTGAGTTGTGACATAGACTGTATGGCCCACAAAACCTACAGTATTTGCTATCTGGCCCCTATCTGGCTTTGCTCTCTGGTAGCAAAGCTTACCAGATTCAGCTCTACGAGGTCTGTGGGGGCTGTTTTGTCCTTTTATAGCTACGTACCCAGAAGCAGACAGGGTGACACAGTTAAGTGAAGTATTTGAAGGCTTTACCAGGCTGGAATGCAACACACACATCCAGCATCTTCAATCCTGTCCTGGAGCCTGCTGGGGGCTGCAGAGTCCAGGGGAGCCAGGTTGCCTCTCTCTCCCCTCACTTCCACAGCATGCGGAAACTGCCCTGATGCTGCAGCTTGGTGAAATGTTTGCTCACTCACAGAGAACCATGGTTGGTTCTTGGGCCTGTTGGCTTAGAAGAATGCCGGGCTAACTTGTGGGCTCACAGACTCATATCCTCATCTCTTTTCTCGTACCCCAGTGTTGCTTTCGGAATGATACGTTTAGAGTTGAGACAAGGCCCATCTGCCAGTTCTAATTGAAACTTTTGTGTGTCTCCCAGAGAGGCTCCTCTGGAGACAAAAGCCTTCTTTATCAAGCCCCAGTCCCCTCTGGGGATGGGACATTGTTTTCCTTGCAGTTTGGAGCCAGTGTGTTATCCAGATGGCTTTAACTCCTGTCTGAAACAAGGTGTACATTCGGTTCAGAGGCAGTTATTACCTCCTGCCTTGTTTTAATTGCTGTCTTGTTTTGTCTAGACCAAGCCATTGCTGTAAGGAAGCTGGCTGATACATACTGAGAAGTGCATTCTGAGGACCTAAGGACCTGCCATCCGTAAAGTGGGGGGACCGAGGGGCAACTCCCTTCCCTAAGTAATCTTAGCCTCCCTGCTTTACTTCAGGTTTTTGCTTGTTTCCCCAATCCTGAAACAGGTACACTTTTGTTTGTTGGAAAAAGTGTTTCTTGGGTGCTTTCCTGGAAGGAAAGCTGACGGCTCCCCCGTGGAGGAGGCTCCTGGCACTGGGTGCCCTGAACGCACTTCAAACCCAGAACCTGGCTTGAGGAGACACACGGAATACAAAAGTTGGGTGCTTCCCAGGAGTGGAAGCTGGCTATTCTCCCTGGAGTCGTCTAGTGCAGAGTACACAGACCCACGTAAAGATGATGGCATGAAGGTGATGATGATAGTGCCTTCCATTTGGAGCACAGCCTTTCAATCCTGGCTGCATGTTAGAATCTCCTTGGGAGTTTAAAAAAATACCTTTATCAGAACTCCTTCCCCCCTCCAATTATTTTAGAACACTCACGGTGAGGCTCTGCCACTGGTGTTCTGGACAAGCTCCTCAGAATATTCTAGTGTGCTGCCAGGGTTGAGAATCACCAGGGTGCCTTGAAGCCTGTGATTACAAGTAGCTACTTATTTAATCCTCATGACAGTGCAGGGAGTTGGGTGTTAGAGTTCCCCTTTCTGCCCTGGAATGGAGTCCTGAGGAACTGGCCCAGGGCAAAGCTCTTTACGGCTAGGCCAGGTCTCCTGACTTCCAAGTGCAATATGACTCCGGTCCCTCCCACCCAGCACCCCAAGAGAAAAGCTGCTGTGTGGGACTTGGTGCTTCTACATACGCTTGGCCATGCCCACTGTTTTCACATCTGTGTCTCCTCACAACCCAAAAGCCCAGGCCTGGCCATCCACTTTCCTCCTTGGAGACCATTTCTCACTTGGATCCTTTTTTGTGCTCTGCACGCAGCCCTCCTTCACACACACCTGCTTCTTCTTAGTTAGCTTCTGGTAAGAAGCCCAAATTAGTTTTGTCTTCAGAGGTACAACTCGGAATCTGTCACTCTGAGCAGCTGCCCTCTGCAGTGCCAGAATCCATTGCACTGGGCAGCCTTCCTCACAGAATCCCACAACCCATTGCTCTGACAGTTCTTATTAAATACGTTGTGCTAGGCGGCTCTCTTCACCAAGTGCCCTTGGCTTGGAGCCCTGGGGAAGTCTGGGAGGTGAGGCAGCCACGTTCCACTATCCAGGCTGGGTCAGAAGAGTGCCAGAGAGGTGAGTGAGGAAGGATTCCCAACTCTGCCAACTTCAGTGAGATACTCGGAGGTTCACTTTATTTACATAGTAGGAACCCAGAGGTTGTTACCCATGACAGAAATAACAGTGGTGGCGGTTGCTAATGCTCCTAGTTGGTCTGACTGGACCAGAATGGGGGGTACTATAGGATTCGCGCTTATAATAGTAGGATTTCACTGGGGCCCAAACAGATCTGCAGGACCTCCTTGGTCTATAGGGATCTTTGGCCAGGGTGATCTGAAGGACAGTGGGGCCAGATATCACTGCTTAGAGCTGGATTTTAAAGAAGAAAGAAGCAATGCTAAAGAAGCTTGTGTGGCACCATGTGGAGAGCTCTAGCCGCTTTGTTACACTGAACTGGGTTTGAATCCTGACCCCATTGCTTATTACCTGTGTGGCCTTAGATGAGTTACGTAATCGCTCTCAGACTAAATTTCTGCCTTGAAAAGGAGATAGTAGTCATTCTTACCCTAGAGGGAGAATTACTGAGATAATCTAGGCTGAGACATTAGCATAGCGCCAGTCATTTAGTAAGTGCTACTGTTACTGTTGTTGTTTCATCTACCAGATTAAGGGAGAAAAAACCTGGAGAAACTTTTTATGGGTGCGGACATCATCCAAGGGTGAGGATTTACCTGGGCTCCATTGGGACTTGTCTCCTGTGAATGGGGGGCTCTCCTCTTTCCCGTTTTATACTTGCCCAGCACTGCTGTGGAGAAAGGTTGAGCCCAAGTGCTGAGAAACCCGGCCCGTTTTCATTCTGTACTCTTTCATCATCTTGTATTTTAAGTAGAGTGCTTCCTGCAGCATGTTCCAGAGAGCTCTGCAATGTGGTCTGGGCATAAATTAAGAGACAAGAAGAAGACTCTGAGCTGGCAGCACTAGTTTCCTGCAGACACATATGTGAACCCAGACAGATAGATGTGCAGATAACCGGTAGAGATACTGTGTCCGGCTCAAAAGAGATGCTGATGATGGGAAAGGAGGGACAGGGACTGCTGCACATATTTGTACTCATGGGCTAAAGGATACATTCTCATGGCCTTGATTTGATGGGGTCATAGCCTCATTCTGAACCTCTTTGGAAAGTGACACGTGCAGACACAGTATGCTTCTCGGTGATCTTTATTGCTCCAAAACTGCTGGTATGTGGATCCCCAAGTCAAGGTGTCCTGAGCTAGTATTCCAGAGAATAATTAGCAGATGACTCAGAGGCTTTGGAGGTCCAGATGCTACGTCTTGCAGATGTGTACCCTGGAGGGCTGCAGGGTGAGTGTGAGCAGCTGGGCATCATGGGTGTCTTAGAAGTCATTTGGAATATGGGAGCATCCTAACTGAGCCACCTGGGAATGGAGTCCTGAGGACCCCAGTTGGGGAGCCAGTCCAAGGCCCCAGAAGTAGTTAAGATCCTCTTGATCCTTGGATGTGTGGTACCTACTCAGGATTTGTCTAGGGAAGCCCCCCGTGGTCCTGACCATGCCCTCAAGCACTGACCACAGTGTCTTCAGTTTTTGCCTTTGTTCTGCTTGTCCTTTGCTGCTCACTGTTTATTGGCTCAATCATACCTTTCTCCTCGTTTCAGAAGTTCCGGGTAGATATGCCTGGCTCGGGCAGTGCCTTCATCCCCACCATCAACGCCATCACCACCAGCCAGGACCTGCAGTGGATGGTGCAGCCCACCGTGATCACCTCCATGTCCAACCCCTACTCCCGCTCACACCCCTACAGCCCCCTGCCGGGCCTGGCTTCTGTCCCTGGACACATGGCCCTTCCAAGACCCGGCGTGATCAAGACCATTGGCACCACCGTGGGCCGCAGGAGGCGAGATGAGCAGGTACACCTCAGACCCGCAGAAAGGAGCCACATTAATGTTGTCTCCCATGGGTCTTCATAAGCACAGAATGTTTTTCTGCAGACTGTTGGGGAGCAGGGTTAATGTTCTGGATGCACTGGGGAGGCCAGGGAGCCAGACAATGACGGGAGATAAGGCAATGCCTCTGTCAGAAGTAGACACCTGAGTCAAGCTTGACTTTATCATCTCACTGGTCTCCCTTAGAAGAATCTCTGTTTCCTCAGCTGCAAAATGGGGACAGTGGTCTGTGCCAACCCGAACTTGATGCTCAAAGGAGATCATATGTGGGAAGGCACACTGTAGGTAGGAAGTGTCAGTGAGTAGGAAGGGCTGTCCTGTCTGCCTGTAGCAGCATCCTTCTCTGAGCCTTGGCAAAGGCCGTAGAGTGAGCACCACTGTACCATGCTGTGAGCTGTTTTGGATTGGCCCTTAGCTGTCTCCCAGAGTCTGGAGCAGACCAGGCACCCAGCAGACCACCTGCAGAGTCACACTCAGGGCTGGTACTACCACATGACTTCTTGATCTTCATCGGTGTCCTACGCCTTTGACTCAAAGTGCATGGAAATGTTCTGTATGTCCCAGAAGTACAGTGATTCTGGGTGGGGCCTCAGGAGCTGTCCAACTGCTTTAGCTGATGGGGGAGGGGCTCAGCTTTGAAAGAGGGCTAACTTGGCAGGGAAGAAAGTCAGAAAATGGCAAGGCCTATGCTTTCTAGGAAGCATCTGCCAATATTCAGAAGTCCTATCACCTGCATCCGCAGTGAACCAAGGCGGCACTGAACCCCTGGTCTCTGAAAGGAAAATCACGACCATGTATGATTCCTAAAAGAAGGGGCTGAGGCCTTCCCAGGGCTCTGTCTGCCCTCCTTGCACATGGTGCAGCCAAGGATAGGCCCATCTGGCTGTGCTCACTTGGTAAGTGAGGGGGAAAGTCTTGACAGCTCTGAGCCAGTTCCCTGGACTCCCCTTGAGGAGCTCTTCCTGCAGGCCCATGCCACTCTGAGCCCCGGACTCCCTTGTTCAGTTGAAAGTGAACCTGGAGAACTACTCCAGTTCCAGCATGGGAAACCCTGTCCCTTCCAAACCATCCATTCTACTCTAGGACCCCCAGGGGCCATGACATGCTAGTATAGTCATGGTTCCCCGTGGGTAATGGTGGATCCAGGGCCAGTAAGATGCTTAGAATTGCAGGGAGAACCAGTCCAAGGAACTGGACGCTTTTCCAGGAGCTCTGCTCCTCTGCGAACAAAGCTGCGCCTTGTATCCAGTACCTGTTTATGGTGGGGCCAAAGTGCAAGGCCCACAGGGAGGTACACGGTAATAAATAGACCTCATGGTTGCATGTTGGGCCTCTGCCACTGGGATAGGGGCCACTCTGTCCCTGACCATTACTTTCCATAGTTGCAGTTGTAAATATTGCAGTAGCAGTAAACACAATGTCCTTTATAAATCAGCTTCCTGCAGAGAGTCTCAGGTGCAAAGCCCTATGGTCACTGATGAGCCAGATTCTCCCTGGGTGTAAGTGACACCATGCAACAGCCAGGCTTGAGAGGAACTCTTGTTGGCTAGCAGGACAATGAAACAAGATGTGCTGTGGTCACACTGCATTTTCTGCTGGGCCTACCTCATGCCACTTTTAGACGTTTCTATCTGGAAGGGACTTGGGAAACCATCTTTTGTGATTTTCCCTCTGTATATCCTCGATAAACAAATGGAGGCCCAGAAAGGACAAAGGTGCTGTCCAGAGTTAGTAGCAAAGGCAGGACTGGAATCCACCTCTTTGACCTTCAGTCCTGAGTTTTTTCCCACCACACTACCTAGCTGTGCCCTAAGACAATCTGCCTGGAGAATTTCCTTCCTTTGAGAGGAAGGGAGAGAACTAGAAGAATTTTCTCCCATATCACTTAGGAGTTCAGATAATCAAAGTCTTAAAAAAGCATGGGCAACTGGATCCTAGAACCTTAGCGCTTAGGTTCCTAGCCCTGGGGTCTTTTCTCTGAGGCTTCTGTCTGCTCCAACTTCCCCTACCTGCTACCAAGAGCCAGCTTGGGACCTCATGGTCCTCCAGAGCTCGCCCAGGTGAGGTGACTCTGGTGAGGCAGAGAGGGGAGGGTGTGTGTGGCTTGTGGGCGGGTCTGTGGTGCTGCTGACACACTCAAGCCATAACCATCTTGATCTCACCGCCCCTGAACACTTCCTATGTCAACAGCTTCCGTAAGTTGCTATACCTCACCAGATAGGGGAGAGACTTCTGGGACCCAAAGTTTTCTGGGGGAAGGAAGGCTGGAAGTGGACCAAGGCCAGTCCTTTCTCTTTTCTTTTTTGTCCCTAGCAGTGAGAGTTCTACGGGCTTGCTGGGCCTTCAGCCAGACCCTAGGCAGTTTTGGAACTAGCCCTGGTGGGCTGTCAAGACAGGTTTAAGGATAGCGAGTGCTCAGGACTTTGGCCAAGTGGCCTTATGACCTCAACCCGGTAGACAGTCATGGGTTGTCCTTTTTGATGCTGTGCCCTGCTTTACTTTTCAAGACATCACAGCAACAGACTGCCAGGGTAGCAAGGAGCATCCCTGGACTATGACCTGGGCTCAGCTGCTACAGTGACCCTTGCCCTCATGGGGTGGCCAGCAATGGAGGCAGCATCCCTCTGTGGGAGAATCTTCCTTCCCCAAGAGTGTCTTCAGTTTTCCCCCATGTGTCCCTTGAGGGTAATGGCCAGGTATTGTTCCTCTTGGAATATTCTAAGCCCCTTATAGCACTGGACACGTAGAAGGTGTGCATTGCGATCTTACAACTGGATGGAAAGGTCTTTCCTTTGCTTTGCTTTCTGTTTTGGCCCTCAGCCATCTTCTTGGAGTCACATCTCTGGCAAGTTTGTATTTGAGCAGAGCCCTGGCCCACTCAGCAGAGTGGAGTTCTTGCCTTCTTGCCTGACTTGTGATTCTCAAACTACTCTCATTGCGAGGAGCTATATTCTGAACTCTGCAGAGGGATCTCCCTTTGGCTTACAGATCGGTCTGAAGGCTCTGGAACTGTGTCGTGCTCATAGAAGGTGCTCATTTGTTGACTAAATGGAAAGGGTGGGCAACAGGACCTAGCATGCTTGGGTGCTCCTCCTTCTGCACGGCTGGTCCAGTTGAGGACTATGCCAGGCTCCTTAGGACTGACCTCTGAGCAGCTGGCATTTGGGCTGGCAAAGGTGTCAGGACTAGGTAGTATCCTTGGCCCTCCCTGTGGCAACAGAATATTTCCCCCAGGCTGATCTTGCCTATGTGGGGACTCCTGGCCCAGCTACTTACCCAAATGGGGATAATGAGGCTTGCAGAGGTGGCCACATGTTGAGGAGGAGTAATTAGCCAGCGTTTGGAGGAAGCTGCTATAGTGGGTGGGGCCAGGCCTGGCTAGATGGAAGGGGCTGCTCTCTGGCCTGGGCTTTGAATCAGAGTTGACATGACAAATGCTGCCAGGCCACTGAGTCTCTGCCCCTTTGTTGCCTTGTTCTCCCTTTAAACACAAGACATCACCCTCCAGGGCAGATTCTGCCACAAGCACCATCCAGGCAGCCAGATGGTGGTGACTGTAGGTTCTGTGACCTCTGCATCTGGCCACACTCCTCTTGCCCTCCTGCTGCCCTTCCTCAGTTCCAGAAGAGCTGACTGCCTTACTTGTAATACAGTTTTTAAAAATGCTTGAACCATTTACCTTGTCCTAACCACGATTCTTGACCTGGGCCTCTAGCTGTCTCCCGAAGAGGAAGAGAAGCGTCGGATCCGGAGGGAGAGAAACAAGCTGGCTGCGGCCAAGTGCCGGAACCGACGCCGGGAGCTGACTGAGAAGCTGCAGGCGGTGAGGAGCTCTGTGAGGGTGGGAGCACTCGGGGTGGCAGTGAGAGGGCCCAGGGCTCTCTCTGCTCAAGTGTCCTGTGGATGAATCAGCGGAGACAGAGCATTACTTCCTTGGAGCACATGGGTCAACCTTGATGAATGAAAAAGAGAAAGAGGGAGCAGGCCTGTGCCACCAGGCTGTGGCTGGACAAAAGAGCTAGACAGCCTTGGTAGGCTGGCATCTGTTGTCACTCAGTGCTGAGTATTCTGTGCTCTCAGACCTGCTGGGGCCCCTGGGTGTTGGCGGTAGGGGGTGTCAGTATCCCTGAATCCCGGGAGCCAAGGCAGATCCGGACCCACCCCTCCCGGGCTGCTTCCCGAGGCTCCAGCTGCCCCCCTGCTTTGCTGACAATGGTGGCTCCGCCTAGCCTAAGGGCTCTGGTTGGAGTGAGGTGGGGGTGAGACCCAGTGTGGACAGGTCGTGTGCCAGCTGAGCTGCGTGTTCTTAGGGTTTCTCATCTCCCTTGTTGGCAGCAGGGTTCCCCACCTCTGCCGTGAGCCTTGGCGCCTCATTCTGCCCTTCTGAGTCACTCTCATGCTCCCTAATTGCCCAGACCTGGGGGCCCATGGCCCTGCCCCTCCTTCTGGTAAGCTTGACCTGACCAGTGTCACGTAACTCCCTCCAGCGCCTGGCCCTATAAGGAGGGCCATGTGCAGTGTGAGGAAGCCCAAAGCCAGGGCTGGCTCTCTTGGGAATGTTTTCTAAGTGGGTGGGTGGGGGTCTGAGAGACTGTCAGTGGTCCTCACAGTGCCGGCCAGGATGGGGCTTTGGAGTACATCTCGTCAGGGGCTTTCATACTCCTGGTACCATCCCTCGTTCCCTCCTAAAGCCCTGCCCTCAGGCACTGAATATGTACTGTGTGTTCCCTCATGCCTGTAGTAATGCCCCGTGGTGGTGTTAGAGCCAGGGAGGATGGCTGTAGTTCTCCCTCCCGGATGAGGTGGATGCCACAGAAACCTCCCCAGCACAGCCCTCCCCACTGCTAATCTTCCTGGCCACGCGCACTGCAGGAGGTGTCTCTTACCGCCAGCCCCAGACAAGCCCTCCCCCAGGTCCTTCTACCGTCCTGCCTCCTCGCAGAAGCCTCACATCCCTCACCCCTGCTTCCCCGAGCTCTGACCCAGCCGCCCAGGCCCCTGAGCCACATCCTCCACAGGAAGCCTCTCACAAGCTCATGACGTTCGTCAGACCCTTGAGACAGACGGAAACTTTTTCACCCCGGAATATACTAAGCTCTGCTTAATGAAGCTCTTGCCGGTATCTGGTATCTCCTCATTCACGAACAGGAATCCGAGCGAGGGAAAAAGTGGGGAGGAGGCTGGTGACTCACACCTTTCCCCTCCCACAGCTGCCCCTTCGTGTGCACTCGTGGGAAAGAGGGGGGTCGAGGTCTTTGCGGGGCGACTGACCACACAGGCTGTCAGGTACCTCCCCTTTCCTCCTGTGGCTGAACTGAGCATGCTCCAAGTTCTTTGAGTCCAGGGACAGGGGCTTTAGAAACTGGAGCAGGAATAGGAGGATCCCACAGAGATTGTCTGAGCATTGATTTCAAGCCAGGCATTGTCCCAGTGCTGGGGATAGAAGAATGTTCACCACCAAGTCTCCACTAGCTCGCAGCTTCAGATTCAGGGTCTGTGTCCACGGGGTGACTGGTGGGGAGCTGAGGAGGAGTGATGGGGTGGGACTGCTTTTGGGGCTACATTTTGTGCTCCCTTCTCCCATGTAAGCCTCTGTTCCCCTGGGGAGGCAGGGGCGGTAGAATGTAGACTTTGACTGTGAAATGAGATACATTGGGATTCACATCTGGACGGCCCTACCTGCTGGCTCTGTGACTCTGGGTAAAGTACTAAACCTCTCTGAAACTCAGTTTCTTCATCTGCAAAAATGGGTTGATGATAACATCTGCTTTCAAAAGCTTCTGGAAGACTGAAGGAAATGATCTGTGAAATGCTTAATACAGTGTCGGGCACAAAGTAAGTGCCTAGTTATGGCAACTACGATTATTTCACCCCTCTACCCAGCTGACTTTCCTCCTTTGCAAGTAAAAGCAGTTGTGAGCCACCACATGACTCAGAACCAGTGTGGTCTGTGGCCAGCTGTGTGAGCTGGCTGCTGTCACAGTAAGTTATCTGAGGACCTTGCTGCTTTTCCCTTTCTCACCTAGACTAGCCCTGTCCCCCACGACGCCCTTGGAAGGCTGCTGTCCCTTACATCCCTCTTTTCTATGCAGGAGACAGAGGAACTGGAGGAGGAGAAATCAGGCCTGCAGAAAGAGATTGCTGAGTTGCAGAAGGAGAAGGAGAAGCTGGAGTTCATGTTGGTGGCTCATGGGCCTGTGTGTAAGATCAGCCCCGAGGAGCGCCGATCGTCCCCGGGCCCTGGGCTACATCCCATGCGCAGTGGGGGCAGTGCGGTGGGTGCCGTGGTGGTGAAGCAGGAGCCCCTGGAAGAGGACAGCCCCTCGTCCTCCTCGGCAGGGCTGGACAAGGCCCAGCGTTCCGTCATCAAGCCCATCAGCATTGCCGGGGGCTTCTACGGGGAGGAGCCCCTGCACACCCCCATCGTGGTGACCTCCACGCCTGCCATCACTCCAGGCACCTCGAACCTCGTCTTCACCTACCCCAGCGTCCTGGAGCAGGAGTCGCCCGCATCCCCCTCTGAGTCCTGCTCCAAGGCCCATCGCAGAAGCAGTAGCAGCGGGGACCAGTCATCAGACTCCTTGAACTCCCCCACTCTGCTGGCTCTGTAACCCCGTGCTCCTTACAGCTCTGGAGGGGTCCTCATCACTGCCTCCTTCCCAGGGACCAGCATGTTCCAGCGCTCCAGGGCCGTGAGGACAAGAGGGGGCCTGCTAGGGAGCTTCCAGGCTCTGGGGGACCCAGGTGGGACTTGATGGTGAGGTGTTCGAGGACTTGGTTGATCTCTTGGAAGTCCCAGGATCTTCTCTTCTCCGTCATTCATCTTGGAAGCAAATCCTCTTTCTTGAAAAGCCATGGAGAGCTTGGTTTGGTGGCTTCTGAAGAGCCTGGAGCTGGCCTGGACAGTTCTTGTCCCTTTGTCATGCTGTTGTCTCTGGAGTGATGGTGTCTCTCCCTGCCCCACCAAGCATGCTCAGTGCCTTTGGTTTTGCCCCCCCTTGACTTGCCCCATCCTTCCCCAGTGTTGGTTTTACTTCTTCTTGATTTTTATCAAATTTGCCATGACATTTCACCGGGGTAATCTGGATATTAAAACTCTTCATTTCTGGAGATGGGGCAGCAGGTGACTCTTCTGCTGGGGCTGACTGGTCCAGAAGGGGACAAAGTGCAATACAGAACCTTCCCTCCCCGACACTCCCCTCGGCACTGCCATCACCAGAACCACCAGCAGGGTTCTCTGAGCTCCCCGGAAATGCCACCATCACCAAGAGGCCCGAAGGACCCTTCCTTCTCACCCTCAGTGACAGCTTTCGGAGGATCGACGTGGCCAGAAGAAAGGGTGTGAGTGAGATGGCGGGCACAGTCTGGGTGTGCCAAGTGCCTAATTACCAGGCCAGAAGTAGTGCCAACAAAGCCACATGGGTGTCCCAGACAGCTTCCCTTCCCCTGGTGTCTTGAGCAGGGCGTCTCCTGTAATTACTGCCTCACCATTGTGCCCCTGGACCCTTCTCTCCAGACTGGGGAGGCGTTCCTCCCTCAGAACCACACATCACTCCAGGCCTGCTGGCCTCCACCCTTCCCTGGCTTTCATGGTGACGCCACCCATGGAGATTTAATGAGCTTGGGGCTGGACCCTCCCCAGATTGCAGCAGGTGACTCCTCCCCAAGCCTCAGAGGATGGAAGGGCCCAGGATGGGACTGGGAGAAGGAAGGCTGTCCCTGGGGTGGTGTCAGCAGTGGCAGCAGCCCGGCACCCAGTCTGCCCTGCCTGACCTGGCCACGCATATCTGAAGTGCTGTGCCCTGTCTGGCCTCTGTGGTCATTGCCACCTGATTCAGGAGTGAATGCTGTTTCTTCACACTCCCTTGCCTCACCCCAGGGTGCCCTTCTGGCCCCATGGTCAACAAGCTGCACACAGTTAGCCGCACGCTGGGGCTTGCAGCTTGTGCACCATCTGACTGTCTGTTGTCTTTCCAGCTGCTGAAATCAGAGCTAGGATGTGTGGCTTCCCGCTGCAGGAGAGCTGCCCCTTCCTGTGGGCCTCCTGACCTTCAGCAAGAGCACAACGCAGCGTGGCTGCTTCCCAGCCCTGAGCCCTTCCTCCCCAGAGCATGGTGATCTCTGTCCTGGGAAGTGGCTTCTTGTCCCTCTGGCCTCCACAGGGCTAGTGCTCTGAGGGAGAATCCATTGGTGATCCGGCTCTAGAGATCATTGTCCACCCACTTAAAATGGTATCAATGCTATTTTAATCAAGCCCAGTGGCATTTAAATTTCCAACTGGAGAGAGCAGAGACGGCTTCTCAGCCCTGCTCCTTTCACACCCCTAGGCGTGCACTAGAAAGGAGGAAGAGCCATATGCTTAAAATACACAGCCTAGCAGGGTTGGAATTGACGTGTGCAAGGGTCAGCCACCTAGAGAGAGGAGAGTAAAAGAGAAAAGATTTTGTTCAAGATACTTTGAACGCATTCTTTCCCGTGTTACCTGGCTGCCTTCTGGTTTCCAGGGCCTCTGAGAAGGGCGCTCCTAAGAAGACTGGCCAACTGACTTCCTGATCTCAGATTAATCAAAGAAGCCAGAGGCAGCCAGGAGTAGCAGGAGATGGGCAAAGAAAACTGGGTGCTTTGAGCTTGGAAAGGCTTAATCATCTCAGGTGGTATTTGTAGCCAGGTGGGAGTTACTTGCTTCTTTGTGCATATAGCTACATCCCAAATGAAGCTGTTTTCTGGCCTGTTTTTTCTAAAAGCCCCTTTATGCCCCACTGTGTGCTGCATGGATTCCCGTGCAGATCACAGTCTGTGACTTGGAGGCAAGCTGGACATTCCTGAGCCAGAGTTTGGCTTTGGTTCAGATTTCAAGCCCCACTGGTATTGGAACCAGCCAGCCCTCGGGACTTAAGAGGCCTCTGACTTTCAGCCCTTCACGGACCTCTTGCTTTGTCCTAGGAGGATATTTGGCTTCCCCAGAGCCAGCGGTTATTTGGGGAAGGCTGCATATTCACACCTGAGTCGTGAGTGCATCCTCAGTTCTCGTCCTCCTGGCTCACTCTCCAAGTTCACTCGCATACACATCCTTGCTCCAGCATCACCAGATGCCCGGCCTGCTGCTCGCCCCTCCACGGTTCCAGCTAAGGGAACGGCTGCAGTGGGGATTCCTTTGTGCTTGGGCAAGGAATTGCTCTGCCTCCCTGTGAACTCGGCCGTGAGGCAGCTGTGTGGACTCCAGCTGTGCTGCACGCAGCTCTGGGATGCACACTGCAGGCACTCCTCGATTGGCTAGTGTGACACACACTCCTCATGGCCACCTGGCTGGCCTCTCTGGGAACAGTCCTCCCCTTGGCCGGGTCGCTGGGTGGCTGGGGACAGGAAAGAAAACAGATCCCAGGTGATGCATAGAAAATTTCCAGAGCCAGCTCCAAGCAGAGAATTCCCTGGGGGTGGAAGTTGTTGTGAAAGAGTCATCATTCTGTCTGTTGGGAGGCCAGATGTTCCCAGTGTGGCCAGTCACACAAGCATCTCAAAGCCAAGAGCCATCCGGGGCTGCTGCTTTTCTTAGCCTTTGGGGAAAGAAGTCTCTGTTCCCACCTGACTCCAAGTGTCATGAGGGGGCCAACCTGTCTGGAGCATGGGAGCTCATTTCTCCCTTTTCCTTGATGGACCAACAGTGCTCCTTGCAATCTTGCCGTGCAACAATGAGGTTGATTTCCTTCCCTGATCAGACATCCATGTGGCCCCTTAAGAAGGAAAAGAATAAGCACCTGCGATGCGCCAGGCACTGTTAGGCACTTTCATATTTATCCCCTTCAGGATGAGATTAAGGGATAAAGGAATCCCCTTATAAAAGGCCCCCAAGTAGTGGCTAAACAAAAACACTTGGAGGTGAGAAGGTCTTTCTCCAAAGACCCAAGGTAAGATTGCTGTTAGTCTGAAGTTTGTTCTCAAAGACCCATCCCCTATGGTATCTGCCCTCCTCCTTGTGCTCAGCCTGTGCTCCTTTGTACTCCTCAGATGGCTGGAGGGGTGACCTGAGTCTTTATAGAATTGTGGACCAATGGGATATTGGTGTGTATAACTTTCTTTTTAAACTTAAGTAAAGGGGTCTTGCTATGTTCTGCTTGTTGAGTCTTGGCATTCATCTTAAAAGCCAGCATCTCACTATTTATTGACAGGTGTATGTGTGTGTGTGTGTGTGTGCGTGTGTGTGCGTGTGTGTATGTGTGTGCACGCATATATGTGTTTTTCCAGGTGTGCTTGTGTTTTGCAGCTTTTTGGAAGGAAACCCAGTCACCCCACTACTAATTTGGCATCTTCTCATGCTTCTTGTGTTTTTGGCCACATGTCAACAAAGGGTTTTAATTTTCTAATGCTGACAACACGTTCAGGAGGGATAGTGTCAGATTTTGATGGGGAAGGGGGCATGAGAAGGGAAGGGGGAAAAGAAATGGACATTTATTTTATTATTTATTTTAAATGTTTACATCTTTGTGTTGTACCAAGCCTGAATAGAAACATAGCATTAAAATATTCAGTTGTTTTCCTCTCTCTCATTTTCTTCTTTAAAAACTTGCAATAATTTTGCTTTTTTGTCTCCCAAGTGATTTGTGACATGTGCTGTATAAACTGTATAAAAAGGTTCTGTTTCTAAAGGTGGGCTGTCATTCCTCTGGGGACAGTGGCTGTCAAGAAATATACATTGTAAGAGGACACAGTGAAAGACCCTGCCCTGTTCCTCAAAAATTACTTTCTCTGCTATGATTAAAAAAATTATTCCATTTATTTTAGTTTGTGGTCACTTGATTTTGAGGAAGAAAATATTTGACTTTGTATAAAGACTAGGTATCAGGTGTCTTTTGCAGTGGGAGATGTATATAATAGTATTTTGGTATATAGTGGAAACCCACAAGCTTTGTGCATTTGTATTTGAGATACGTTGATGATGTGGAGTGAAGTCTACTATTAGACCCTGGAGGCAAACAAGTTGTACAAGGTTTCTGTAGCTCTGTGGGGAACTTGATTACCTTTCTGGGCACCTTTTTTCCTGAGTTTTAAAAAAGTAATGGTGAAATGGTCCGATCTCTTACATTGACCTTTCCAGGTAGGATTGTGAGCCCAAAATCTTTGTGTAGTTTTGAAAATTGAGGAGTAGCTCTGCTCGGAAGCATCTCTGGTGGTATTTGTTGTTGTTTTGTTCTGTTGTTTTACTGTATGTAACACAAGCCTACAGTATTTGCACTAAAGAAAGCTTGTTAGAAAAAGCTTGCTGCTATGGAAGAAAGAACATATTAAAACATTTTTCCCTCGCGGTATTTTTTTTTTTGTTAGCTTTTCCACTTTCCGTTGAGTAGCATTTTGTAGAATAAAATGAATTAAGATTGAACAGCCTCTGATGGTCACTTTATTCCGTCTTCCCTCCCTTCTCTTTTTTCTTCTACTCTTCTTAACCTTTGACCTTGTGGGTAAAACAGGTCTCTTCTGGGGATGAAGTTCACTGGAAACTTTTTCTGCCACATTGTAAAGTGGATTGCTTAGGGGGTATTAGAGCCCCTACCCCCTACTTGCCTTCATTCTTTTCCCCTTGACCTTCTCCCAACCCATCCTCCTGGATTTCCCACTGCCCAGGGCCTAATTCTCAGCAAGCTGTCAACTACTGCCAAGGCATGAGCCAATAAAAGTTTAAGGGTATTGTGTCTGAACAGGTTGATTCTGGAAATCCAGAAATCTTCAAAGAAGCAATTAAATGTATTGCTAATGTTGTCATGGTGGTCAGACAAGATCAAGTGCAGGAAAGAGCTCTAAAAACCACTGAGGCATGCAAAAAAGTGTGGCGATGGCATCTCTAGACTTCCTTTCTGAAAGATGGCAGCTTGCTAGGTGTGAAATATTCAGAAATGCCAGCCCAGTTCCCATTGTCCTGTAGACCAGAGAACCTGGGGTGACTGAAAAATATCTGTTCGGGGGGTGCTCTTTCCTCACAGGGAGGCAAACCAATCATTAGGTAAAGCTTGCAGTGCACGGCAGCTGGCTGAGAATTAGCTGTGGAAATTACACACTTGTTCCAGTGTGCTTTAGGCAAGCTTAGGGTGCGGGCCTCATTCTCTGCAGGACCCAAGAGCCCTGTACCAGGAGCCAGGGAGGCGCTGAATCCTAGGCCTGCTCCCATTACTCCTTGACTACTGAATTTTTTTTGAAAGCAACTGAACCTCTGAGTCTCCCTTTTTTCATCTGTGAAGGGTAATGACAGCTCTATAAGACCACCATCGTAGAAGGGGGTGACAGTATCTTCTCTGTCCCCTTTGGGTCCACATGGCTCAGGGGATCAGTGCTGCTCAGAAGTCTCAGTGCTGGATCTCACTGTGACAGCTTCTGTCGGGGCAGACAAGGGAACATGGACAGAGTCTGGCATGTTTCAGAAGTACCTGTGCTTTCCTGAGCAGCTGATGTGTCTACCCTTGTGAGGTGTCAAGGAGCAGATGCTTGGCTTCCCTGGGCTGCAGGGATGATGCTGTCCTGAGAAGCATGTGCTCACATGTCTAGGTTTGCCACTGCACCCAGGTGCATCCATTCACTGACTTTCAGTCACACTTCAGAGTCTACTTTATTTAAATTTCCACCTCTTTGTCTATATAGCAATTAGAGTGGTTGCTGACTGCCAGACACTTATTAGATGGAGTCATAAGCTTCTTTGTGCAGCTGTAAAGGCCTTAAGAACATCCAGACAGTGGTTCAGTCTTTCATGGAAAAAAGCAGTAAGGAACCACTTCTACTGGGTCTACTGGGGAGGGGGGGTTGCTGTCACCAGTAAGTCTAGGCTGAATTGGTCCAAGCCAGTTCCATGACCTGGGTTGATGGTAAACTCTTGATTTCCAACAAATTTGGAGTTTTAAAGGGTAAGAAAAGTCCTCTCTCTCAGCAAGAATGTTTTGATGAGGGATTTCTGGGACAATCTCTTTTTGTTGTGTTCTAAGTGAACACAACTTTGTCTCTAGGCTTTTGTTGTTCATTAGACCTGCTACTATGTATGAGATAAGAAATTTCTCCTGGAGCTGCCATTTGCCCACGCAATGAACAGTGAGACCAAGTATGTGAAAGCACTGAGAAGATATGAAGTGCTAAAGCCAGGAGGAATCTTAAGTCACTAAAACCCATAGGCCTGGGCAACTTTACTGCAGGGCAGCCATTGGCCTCTGGGCTTCAGTGCCATGTTGGAAATGAAGGGCATGATTTTCCTGTTGACTCTATGTGTTTGAAGGATGGATGGACACTTGCACAGAAGCAGCCTGGCCCTGCTGGCTACTGGGTCCCACCAGGCCCCCAAACAGAAGCCCCAGCCCAGAGGGGCACTAATGGCTTTGCACCTATCCTGTTCTTGCCGACAGAGATTCTATTTCTTCCTGATGAGACAACAGAAAGACTGCTTCCTACAAAGCTGTGAGCAGTTAGAACTGATCCACTTGGCCTTCTTCACCATCAGACCTGCCTGGAGTAGAGAGAAACTGTTTGCTGCAACTCTGCTGGTTGGGCAGGATCCTCTTCCTGTTGCTCAGTGAGGTTCCCAGGGGACAGATGCCATGGCCAAGCTCCACTCATTTAAAGAAAAAATAATTAAAATTGCTTTAGGCTCCACCTCTGGAACTAGAAGATCTTTAATCAAACTAAATACCTTAACAAGTATTCATAATCAGGCGTGGTGGCGCAGACCTGTAATCCCAGCACTCAGGAGGCTGAGGCAGAAAGATTGCCACGAGCTCAAGTCCCACCTGGGCTACATAATGAGTTCAGGGTCATCCTGGACTACATAGTGAGACCCTGTCTCAAAAAAATAAACAAAGTGAACAATTCTGCACCATCCAGTATCTTCACAATATTGTGCAACTACCTTGATCGATTTCCCAAACATTTTCATCACTGTGAAAAGAGACCCCATACCATTAAGTGTTAAGTCCTTATTGCCCTTTACCCCATCCCAGCTGCCCACCCACCTGCCCCTGAGTGCTGAGTGCCCACAGGTCTGTATGAATTCAAATTTACATGGTAGTTTTGAGAATCCCAATGATTCTATTTTTGAACTAAAAAACTCTTGAAAAGTTAGCAGGGAAAACTAACAGGTATTAATGGTGTGGTCCTCCCTTATGTTCACTTCATACCTTTTCACGTCTTCTCATACATGGTCTCAATCAGTATGTTGCTGGGTGTGTTGGAAAATCTCAGCTCTGGGAGAAATTCCTTTTCCCCTCCACAGTAGTGCATCTACTACACAGGCAGTACAATCACTACCTTGAACCCATGCACCAGGCATTCATTTGTTTCTCAAATAAAGATGGAGTAAACTTGAAAAGACGGACTTTGTTCACACGGGCACCCTTGTCATGTCACAAACATATAGACCACAGTTTAAAACTTAGTGTGCAGAGATGTTACTGTCCTGTTCTAACAGATGAGGAAGAAAATCTCTCCTTTGTTCACTTATATTCTTGTGTCCCTGCTGAGCACATGGCATTGCAAAAGGCACCCTTTGAAACACAGATGAACAGGGAACTTTTGTGCAAGTGTTGTGTAAGGTGTCTCTTTGCTTCACAGTCAAGTGTTTTCATCGGGAATCGCAAGAACTGTCAACTAGAAGCTGCCCTCAGGGAAGTTCGGTCTGGTGGGAATGGAAGGACAGGGGACACACACATTGTGGCCTGCAGCAGGTGCGGGGTTCCAGAGAAGACTCTGTGGAGGAAAAGGCCTAGTGTTGGAGCTGGAAGGGTAAGCAGGATGACCACAGAGAAGATGGAGTGGAGCGCAGGTGTGCCTGGCCCAGGGAGCCGACTGAGCAGACTTGGGAGATGAAGGTGTGGGGTGGCTGTGGAGGTTGGGCTGAGCATGCGCTGATTTGGGGGGGCGGTAATGAACATAGAAGCCGTGACTCTGAGGGTCTTTCAAATGGCAGGCTTGACTCTGTCATGCACTGACGCCTGTTTGTGCCAGGCACTGCCCTTAGACTGGGGAGACAGAGGGGATGCAAAGGCCTTAGGGCCTCCACCCTGGCGTCCTCTCCTTGGGGGAAGATCAGTAACTATGACTTCACTGAGAGATTCAGAGAAGACATATAAGATGCGGTGAGTGCAGCAGGAACCACTGGGCCTTCTTGAATCTGGCGTGAAGAGTGGGTAAGAGAGCTTCCCAGAACTGGTGTTATTCACACTGAGACCCCAAAAGTAAGTGGAAATGGGAGCTTTACTTCTAGGTCCTGGGAGTTGCCAAGGGTGCAGCTGAATGGCAGCTGACACAGCTGCTGTCACACTCGACAAAAATGAACTCAGCAAGTGCTTGGGACAGGCAGGGAGGGGAGGGGGAAGCAGGGACAAGAGGGGCCCAGCTGACACACAGAGTTCCAGCCACGGAACCCGAAGGCACAAGAAGGTGCTCCTTGGGAGGCCAAGTCCAGGACATCTGGTTCCAGGAACAGAAACTGGAAGGCAGGAGGAGGAGCTGGGGGTGGGGGTGGGGAGGCCCAGCCCCGAGTTTTAGGCATGTGACTTTGAGGAACTACAGGAGGGGGTGGGCAGGGGTCCGGGGCTGAGGCAGTACACAGGCAGGGCCTGAGGCCATGACGAGGAGTTCTTCTGGAGAAGGTCACACATCTTGCAGCTTGGTACCACCCTCAGTCCGTGTTCCCAGCAGCCCTAGTCCTCAGCCTTGAAAGCTTGACCAGTCTCTCTCTTCTTCCCCAGAAGAGCACTCGAACTGCCCTTCTCTCTCAGAGTGTCCCCCGGCCCCCACACTTTCCACAGATGATGTCATCTTCCACTTTACTGAAGAAGGAGACCATCACAGGGGATCTCCTCGATTTCCCATCAGCAAGTTGACAAACCTGTCAGCTTCCTTCCTTCTTCTTCAGCAGAGAAGGGTCCCTCCTGCTCCCCAAGCAAGTCTTTCTCCTCTACCCAGCTCTGAGTCTCCCCATTCTCCTCAGAGACCCTCTTTAAGCGTCTTCCCGCTCTTCTTGTCTTGTCATTGGTGTCTACCCTCCCCAAGCAGCAGTGAATGAGATCAAGTCTTGCCCGTCTCGAGAATGACAAAACCCCACCCCGGCCACAGCTCCCATCTCAGCCTCACCGCCTCGTCTGGAGAGAGTTATCTTAGCTTGTGGCTCCTAGTTCCTCACCTCCCACTCTGCTCTCAACCCACTGAAGTCCAGCTCCCAACCCGCACAGCCCCGACTGTCTGAACTTCCTTGCAATGAAATGCTGCAGGCACATCCGAGCCTTGGTCACCTCTAGCCTATGGCCATGGTGGGCACTGCTGGCTGCACCTTCTGGGATATGCCATTTTCTGCGGCTCTCCTCATCCTGCCTTGACCCTCATGGCTCCCTCAATCCCATGTCAATGCGTCACAACCAAGGCCCACCTACATCAAATGGGCATGTTCCATCAGCCCCACCACCGCCTTCCCAGCAGAAGCCTATCCTCTCTTATCTGGACAGCACCATTATCTCCAGCCCCGCCCTGCAGCTGAGACACCAAATGGATTAAAAGGGTTGGTGGTCTGTTTCTTGCTGCTCTAGATTTGGGGCCCTTACCTCAAAATGTGTAAATCTCCTGCTTGTCAAAGCCTGTTGTAGAGGGACATCAGCTAGGATTAGGTTCAGCAAGAACCCAAAGAGAGCCTTGAAAATATGTCCATGATCTACCTCTCGCTGTTGCAGGTTCTGAGGCCCAGGGGTTGTTTAGGATTTAGCTGTTAAGACTATGACAGGCTACCCCCATTCAATGTATTGTCCTGAAAACATTGGCAGGCTTCCGATCTATTTGTTTCCAGTTGGTTTCTTCTGCAGAAACCACAGCTAAAGATCTAGTGTAGACATCATTCTAAACCACTTGAGAACCCAGGGTGGCTTGAGAAAATTCATTTCGAACTCTCCCTATGCCTCATGACACTAAGCCAGCAAGCTGACTGATGTGAAGACCTCTGGGTAGAAGTTGGAGGACATTTCCTCCCATGGCCCCTGAAGGACTACCTCTTCCTCCCTCACCTAACCAATTTGCTCTCTGGGATTTTTCTAGAAGATGGAAGTTGAGGATGTACCCTTGACTTCCTCACCTGCTTGCTGGTTGCCCTCCTCCCCACCATCCTCTGAACTAAAAGGTCAGAGTGTTTTTTTTTTTTTTTCCCCAGCTATTTTTTTCTTTATATAAAGCTTTATGATCAAAGTCTGCTTCTTGATATCTTAAGCGGGGGGGTGGTGCTTAAAGGTATCCAGAACAGTCTTTTTCTTTCAAGACTATTCTCTGGCTGAAAACTTTTATTGTGTATGTCAAAAGTTAAGTATTATCTCTCTGCATTTTTTTTCTTTGATAATCCTAATTCAGCTCCTTAGACAAGCAGATATTTGAGCTAACCGGGAATATCACATGTACAGACATACAAAAGAGAAATGCAATTAATCCTATTTTTCAAAATAGGATCTGTTTACATAACTAAGGACTTCCTATTTTGCTTAGGGTAAGTCCACAATGTGTCAGATCCTTCTGGATCTGACCCCCCCGCTTATTTCCCCTGCCTCCTCTCATCCAACTTTTGGCCTCAACTTTTCACAACCACATTGGACTTTCTCAGTTCCCCCAACATATTCCACTCAGGACTTTCTCAAGAGCTGTAGTGTAGTCTGGAAAGCTCTTTGCCTCTCTCTTTAACTGACCAACTCATCTTTATTTCCCAGGTTTTGATTTAAAGTTCACTCATTGTCTTAGGGAGAATTTCCTGACCCACAGTATCTATCAGATCATCCAGCACGTTTGTGGTGATTGAACTAATTGTTTTTAATGAAGTCTTAAGCCCTTCTGTGTCCAGGGAAGAACAATGTCTGTTCTGTTTCCCTGATCTCTTCATTGGGCATCATGATTTTCAGTATGGACTAACAAGATGAGTCTCTAAAATGCAGCTCTACCTAAAACCCGTCAGTGGCTCACTTTCCCCCGGAAGATAAAGCTCAGCTCCCTTCAGTGGCTTCCAAAGGCTGCGTGGTCTGCTCCCACCTGCCAGCCCCTCTCCTTCCATGTTCATCTGGACTAAAACACCTCTCTGTCTGTGAAAGGGGCTGAACCTCTTGCTTGTAAGTTCCCAAATAAGGTGTCCTCATTTTCCGGTATGGACAACTTTTATTCATCATTTAGCTCTTAGCTGAGAAATGGATTTTTTGTTTAATTGACTGATTGTCATGTACATTCATCCCCATTCTAAGTATCAGGGACTGTGCTGAGTGCTAGGGTGGTGGGGCGGACAAGACACCCCAACCTCAGCCTCTAGCATGTTAGTTTGCTGACTATTGGCACCCCCAGGCTGAGGTAGCTGCCTCTCTGGGCCTCCCTGTCCTCACATTGCCTTATCACAGTTTAGTGACCGTTTCTTGGTCTCTATCCTCCTGAGGGCCTATGAGCTGTTTGTTGAATGAATCTATGAACCTTTAAGGTATTCAGCTAGGTGTAATTAGAAGAAGTAGGAAATGGCATAGCCTGGATGAGCTGGGCAAAAGGTGCTATGGGCAGGGAACACAAAACAAGATGGACATGGGACTGGGAAGGGGACAGAGGCAGAAAGGGGCCCCTTCCTCCTTCCTCAGGGAGTTACAGGAAGTGTGATGGAAGAAAAGTACTAGGACCCGGACACAAAAGGCCACAGATAGCATGATTCAATTGTTTTTATTACCACAATAAATAAACTCAAAGGGATAAGAGGCAAATTGGTGGCTGCCATGGGCTGGGAAGAGTATGAGGAAAGGGAGAGGGCTCTTAAGGGTGTGGGGTTTTCTTTTGGGATGATAAAAATGTGTTGGAACTAGATAGAGGCAGTGGTTGCCCAACATTGTGAGGGTACTAAATGCTACTGTACTGTTCATTTAAAATGGTTTATGTTACATGAACTGCACATTACAAAGAATGAGCAGAAGGAAAGATAACGGGAAGGAGACAGAAGGAAGGCAGGCCTCGGAGGCTTCTCCTTTTCCTCCACGGTTCCAGGGACCCCTCAAACTCTGGGACTGGCTGGGGCTACACTGACAGAAAGGCCTCACCACATCCACTAGTTTGTCTCAGATGCAGGGAAGCTTGAACGTGGGGATGTGGGCTCTGTGGGCTCTGGGCAAGAGCCCTGGGAGTGAGTTTCTGCAAGGCTTGACGGCAGTAGGAGAGGGAGGCCTCTGTGCTCTGCAGCGGGACGGAGCTCCCAAGCGCAGTGGGAAGTGAGTACGTTTGTATCTAGCCAAGGGGAAGTGTGGTCAAGTGGAAACCACCCAAAGAAGGAAGGCTTTCAGGGCTCTGTCATCCCAGCTAACAGATGTATAATCTGAAGCAGCTCACTTTTCATCTCTGATGGAAGCAAAGTGTCCTTCTCTGCTGTTGGAAATGCAGAAGAGGCCGGTGATTTTGGAAGACAGGTGGTTGCTTGGGACACTAAACTTACTATTACTGTATGATTCAGCAGTCCTGTTCCATGGTATTTACCAAAGGAGCTGAAAATTTGTATGCACATGTGATGTTTAAACTTGATCGTATCACCTTGACTGATTTGGGATCTGCCTAGGGGATTGGTGGAACATAGTTCTGGGTGTGTCTGGCTGGATCATAGAGCTGTGACCTTGGGGTCTCTATCTTGTCCCTCATTGCTTTCTCTCTGGTGCTGCTCCCCTGCTCTGCTTCCTGCTCCATGAACACAATGCTCTGCCATGTCCGTCCACCATGACATTTCTGGCTTGGAGCCAGCTGAG